GAGGAGAGAGAGAGAGAGAGAGAGAGAGAGAGAGAGAGAGAGAGAGAGAAGAGCTTGGAATTAAAATCTGAAAAGTTCCCTCAACAACCTTGTTCAGTGTCATATATATATATATATATGTTTCTCTTATTGGTTGATAAATAAAACACTGGCCAGTAGCCAGGCAGGAAGTATAGGTGGGGCTAGGGATGATGAAAATTCTGGGCAGAGGAGGCAGAGAGAGATGGCCAGAGAGATGCCATGTAGCTGAAGGAGTAACATGCCAGATTATGGGAAAGCCGAAGCCTCGTGACAATACATAGTTTAATAGAAATAGGTTAATAATTAAGAGAGAGCTAGCCAGTAAGAAGCCCAAGCCATTGGCCAAACAGAAACCACCTTAGTCGTGTGGTTCCAAGAGAAGGTGTTTTCCCACTCAACACCCCACGCCTTCTGTGCCTGGTCCTTCTGAAGATGCTTCTCATTTCTCAGTCCAGTGCCCATGGGAGTTTACATTAGATTATCATTAACTATTTATAATTATGTCTTGTGGCTCTTTAAGGTCATATCAGGCAATCCCAAGAGCAATGACATTATCCAGAAGAGAGATCTTTATGGGTCTTTTGTCCATAGGATTTGGGGCAGAAATGGCTTCTGATGGTTTCCTGAAGCTCCTAGATTTGTTATGCCCGGACATCTTACTAACTACGGTCCTGCTCTATGGAGAGTTCCTAAACCCTGTATCATTCCAGTTAGGATTGGTGCCATATAGAATGGCTCCCAGGGGTCAGTGCAAACATACCCCAGCTGTGACTATGGTCCCCACACTCCTAAGGTTGCCCTCAGCACAAACTCCTGTGCACCTGACCGAGGTGAAGCTTAGTCAAATCCCCCACCACTTCTAGTTCTCACCTCTTTGTATAGGACAACCAACAGCTCCTCAATTCTATGATAATCAGCTAGTCTTCCCCTCTCCCTCCTTTTTTCTCTGGCTGGATTTGTGTTGTGTTTTCTTTGGGCCATCACTGAAGTGAATGAAAGGCAAATTACAGCTGCAAGAGCCCCAGTGTTCTGCACAGCTAAAGAGAGAAATAACAACAGCAACAAAACCAAGCCCACACCTAAGGGTCTGCAGTTTGCCTCAGATGTCCGACCACAATGCAGATGAATCACAACTTCAAAATGAACCTGTTTTCATCATAGATTATAAAAGGCCACAATGGTCTGGCTGGTTAGCTCAGTTGGTTAGAGCATGGTGCTAATAAGAGGCCACAATGATTGTGCAGAACAACCACAAAGTCAGTGAAGAGCAGGGAAGGGGAAAACAAACTCTGTTTCAAACTGGTTTGGCTGGGCTTTGGTGGTGTGGGCTAGGAGGGCAGTGTTGAAGGAAGAATACACGTTAAAGTCACAGTGGAGGCCCAGGTAGGAGTAAACACAGGGTCCACTGGGCTTTGACATCTGCAGCCTACGATTCACAGAAACATAGTTTCTGTAACAGTTACACTTGAGGGATGTCTGAAGTATAGGCTGAACGTTCTGAATGTTCACTGCTGGAAGTGCCGTGAACAACATGTAAAATGACTCCTGGTGGCCATTCTCCTGCAAGGGGGAAAGCATACCCCAAAATAAGTCTTGGCCCCAGAGTCAAGGTGGACTACTTCCCAAAGGTGGCTCCAAAACTGTTAGCCATGCCAACCTAGCATAAGCTCTGACTAATTCAATTCAGCCTGGCATGTGTGGTCCTAGGTCATCGCAGGCAAACGTGGACCAGGTCTGGGTCTTTGCTTGAAATAAACATGTTGAGATGCTTCCATTTTGCCTTTGTTAACAGGAACAAACAGTTTTAGAGCAGCCAAATGTTACTTAGACAAAATGGGTAATTGTGCTTGGCACAGGGAAAACAGGCCATGCTCTAATCATGGACATCAGCTCTGCACTCCTGCAGAGGCCAGATAATGACATCTGCCCTGAGCCATCTGTACTAACAGTTCCCTGTGAGATCTGAAAAGCCAGGCTCCCTTTCCCAATGTTAGGACAGGCTTTAGGTCTGAGAAGGGCTGGATCCTGGGTCTAAGTTTCAATAGGTCTTGGGAAAATCAGGGCCATGGATGGTGTCTCTGCAAGAGCATCTAGGACAATGATTCAGCCTCTTAGAAAGGGCTCTGGGCTGACAGACTACAGACAGAGGCAATGTAGATCCTCCTGTGACCAATTCTTGCCTCCTGTTGAGAGACTCAAAGCCACTAGGAAGTTACCTCTCCTATGTATTTTTCCCCTCTGGAATTGCCTTCAGGTTCAGATATCTACCACAACTACATTACTAACTATTCACTGAGGTGATTCAAACCAAACCAAACCAGACCAGACCAGACTACACCAAACCAAACCTGACCAAACCAAGCCAGATCAGACCAGACCAGACCAGACCAGACCAGACCAGACAAGACTAGACCAAACCAAACCAAACAAACAGAACAACAACAACAAAAACCAGAACAAAAACCTTATGGACCCCAATATCAGTCTCTGGGTCATTTATTTTTCATGCTACAGATCAGACTCTCGAGTGAGTCTCCTTCAGCTCAAAACTTTTGCAGAATGTTCCTTTTATAAATGTCCACTCTGACAGCTCCAGGTTCACAGCATCCATCCCAGAATCTTCATTATCTGTCCAAAAATGAAATCCCAACCATCTCTGAGTCCTGAACATGATGGAAGTTCCTGTTCCAGTTGCTCCAGGGAAATCATTCATAAATTGGAGATCAATGTCCCCCAGGAAGTAATAATTTGGTAGGTGTGGGACAAGAAGAGGACATGCTGTGTCTTTGTGGAGCTGAGGACAGTGTGCTCAAGAGCTGCACCCCCCCCCCTGGGGCAGTTTGAAAGGAGATTCCTGTCTCTGTGGATTTGCCATCAAGAGAAATTTTGTGGAATCACATTGAGCAATTTAGCACTTAGCAACTTTCACAAAATCCCACACCAATCATAAAAGTTGGCTCAGCTGCACAAATTGGATAAAACTCCTAACAAGTGGCGATGAAATTAAAAAGAAAGGAGCACTGGCATTCAGCTTCAAGGAGAGGACATCCCTCCCTCCCACACAAATGCCCCATAGTTCAGAAGGCGATGTGTAAACTTTGGAGACATCAGTTTTTCTTTTTTTTTCCCCCTCTCAAAGCTTAGACTTCAACTTTGTTCTCACAGGCAAAGAGCAGGCAGAAAAAAAAAAACCAGATGTTTGTATAAAAATATCATCATTTTATTACATTCCACACAATACATTTTCAAATAGTTTTCAACATCCACAAGTTATTTTGACACACAGGCAACTGAGCAATGCAAGGGGTGTCACAGTTATAGGGAGAGGGGATAAGAATAGGAAGTAAAAATCTTTAGGTTTTCTTGTTTTGTTGTTCTTTGGTAATTTTTGAACTTTTAGGTGTTTGCTTGCCTGCTTGTTTTTATTTTAAAGATGGGGTCTTTTAAAAGATGGGGTATCAACCTCAAAAATATTACTGGGTCACCTATTCTGGTTTTAATAAAAAAGAGTGGGACAAGGGAAAGGATGAGCTTATTTTCCGCAATGCTACATTTGTTTTGTTTTCCTTTTTCTCCTTTTGCCAGCAATAGATGATGGCAGCTGCTAGCATAGGCTCCAGGAAGGGCTCTTGTGAGACCTCTAGTAAGGCAAATGCTTTCTAGCCCCAGCTGGCCCTTCATTCATGCACTTTTTCACATTTTAACAGTTGGTATCACTGCTTTGTCTTCTGGGAAGCAACGCTACACTCAGGCATGCATGTATTCATCTGTCCAGTCCAGTTTCCTTAGAAGAGAGTGACGCTCGCCTCCCCAACTGGATACAGAATTTTGCTTTTTAAAGCAACAAGGCATGGCATTTTACACATGAGCTGCACTTTTAGAAAATACTATGAAAGATGCTGGAGTGTGTGGGGGGGTAGGAGAGAGGGCAAGCAAGAGAAAGAGAGAGAGAGAGAGAGAGAGAGAGAGAGAGAGAGATTAAGCATGAATCACAGCTGAAGGGCATTCATGGGATTCACCATCTTCTCATCTGTGACATGTATGTGAAGATGATGCTGGCTGCATAGGGCATTGGATGAGCATAGAGCAAGGTCACAAAGTATCTGCCATCTTGCTTCTGCTACACCCCATGGGTTTTCTAGCTGTGGTTTTCTGATGCCTCCACATGGCACCTGTAGGAATGTCAATCATTTGCAAGGAAAGCCCGGCCCTAAATTTTCAGCTGGAGGTGAATGATCCCGATAAAAAGCCCTTGGTGACTGGCATGGTTCTCTCGGCACCCAGCGTTACTGCCCACCTTCTGCTCATGCTTCCTTCTCCATCTTCAATTGGGGTAGGACAGCTCAAAGTAGCCACACTCTAGCCTTTCATCTTTTCTTTGCTTGGAAGAGCTGCTGTGGTTTTGAAACAGAGTAAGAGTGGGAGACCACGTCCTTTCAGAAGGATGAAAGGAACCAGATGCAGAAGCTGAGAGTGGGCGAGAGGGATCTATCTGGCTACTCTGAAAGAATGCTGAGCGGCTCTCTCCCAAGCCATTTGTTTTTAAAGATTCATTAGTATTTTGTTCTTAGAAAGTGTCTGGAGGTGTATCTGACCAGTAAACCATCTTGAGGGAATTGTATCCTTCCCAAGAGGCTTTTAAGGTAGAAAACAGGAAACAAATACCTCCAAGACTGAGCCCTAGTATACTGGAAATCTTCAAATAACACATTTTTTGTGCAATAAAATTGACTTTGTTATTTACTCAATCCTTTTATTGGGCAACTGCTCACTGCATCCCTCCCTGTGCGTTGTTTGAGGAAGAAGAATGGGCAGCCATGGGTGTGCCTTTATCATGGCACCTTCTCTTTGCCCATGCTGTGGCATCTGTGGACGTCAGGGCAGCCCACCAGGGCTTGCTTTCAGGGACAGCACAAGGTACATTTCAGCAAAGGATTCCTTTCTGATTTCTCATACTATTTTGAACAAGTCAGGTGGACGGCCTTATACTCCAGTAGCTATAGATTCAGTCACATGTTGACACCATGAAAAGAAAACAAAAACCCCCTCTCCCTCATATTTTACAAATGCTATTACAATGACCAAAATAATACCAAAGAATACCTTTTTCCTCAACCCCATCCCATGTTAGGCTCAATGCAATGATGCCCTGGGGTGAGGAGACTTTGCAAAGACAATATTTGAGTCCTTCCATCTCTTCTTTTCTATCTCCCCCCTCTTGCTCTCCATTTAAAGACTACTGATCGAACATCATCCCAGGTGTGTTAGTCTTATGACTTACTCCATGATTGGACCATCAGAGCTAAACATTCATTATGAACTTTTTTCTTCTTCTTTTTTCTTTTATAAGGCAACATGAGACACATTTGCTTCAGGGCTGGAAGTAAGGATGGCTCCATGAACCCAATGGCTGTTGTCTTGTGACTTCAAAGACACCAGGAGACATAACAAAAGGGGCTATGTCTGAGTGTACTGGAGGAGCCATCTTCTTGGGTCAGGTGGGTTGGGGAAGGGGATAAGGATGCAACCACATTGTATTCCATGTGGCCTCTATTGTTCTAGGTACCTGGAGATGACAATGACAGCCAACAGAAACCCAGCCAGATAGAGCTAGATAAGGCAACAAAAAAGCTTCAGTTTCTTCTCCAAGTAAACAAAATGTGTACAGTATATTATTTTCTTGTAAAATGTACCCCAGGAGAAGTAACGCAATGAGTGAAGAGCCCCTCTCTACACACACCCACACACTCCCCCCCTCCACAGTGAGTCAGTCTCTCTCTCACACACCCACCACACCCACCACACACACACACACACACACACACACACACACACACCTCTTCACATGGGAGTGTACTGTGTACATACATACAGAACCAGGCTCCCTTCAGACACCTGGCAGCCTGCCTAGGAGAGGAGGGATGGGATAAGGCAAGGAGGGGAGAAAACAAGAGGGCCTGTCTCTGGAACAAAACCAACTGAGCCTTGGGTTGTGAAGTGCTTAGGGGCAGAACTCTTCTGGGATTCCAGATGCAGCATTAAGAGTTGGGTTTTGTGGTTTAGAATCATGGAAAAAGAAGGAAGGAAGGAAGGAAGGAAGGAAGGAAGGAAGGAAGGAAGGAAAAAAGAAAGGGAATAAAAGAGACAAGATTAAAAGGAAAAATAATGATAAGGAAAACAAAATATCAGGGCAAAGAGAAACAGGAACCAAGGATCACAGAGAATAGTTGGGGCAGATAAGAGTGCTCAGGGTTGGGGACCCTGGAGAGAGCTGTCTGAGGGTTCACACAGAGACTAGGCGAGGAGAAAAAAAGTGCAAAATCGAGGCAACGTGTTTGCAGTCTTTCTTGTTTGGGCGCTGTTCCTGCTTCGGCCCTCAGCAGTGTGAGCCCCGCTCTTGCTCTAGCTTAATAGTTAGGGTGGGCTCCACTGCCAGAGGGGCCCCGTTGGTGTAGTGGGAGGTTTTGTAGGTGATGGAGTGATCGGTCTTCTTAGCCGCATAGCGGAACCGGTGGTAGTGGAGCACCAAGGCCAGCACGACGGAGACCAGCACCAGCACTGCGCCCCCGGCTGCCATAACGTAATACCAGTAGGCTGGGATGGGCTGCACGGGCACCGTGTCCACTGTGGGCTCGGTCCCTGGCGGGAGGGTGCCCCCTGGGGGAAAGACACAGAGAGTGTTGCTAGGCTGAGAGCATGCGGACTTACAAAAAAAAAAAAATCAATTTAAAAAAGAAAAGAAAGAGAGAGAGAAACACACATGCTTTGGGAAATACAGCAGGGAACCAGGGACTCAGGGACTCCGCCTTCATATATACCAAGCAGTCTCTCCATTGGGTCCCTTTATATATCAGGCACTTTGACCCATTCTACGGATGAGGAAACAGACTCAGAGACGATGGGTCAACAGCGGCTATTCACCTGGTAGCAAATAAGCTACAACCAAGACTGCTACCTTACACAGCTTTCTTTGCTATTTAACCAGAATTACTTTACCATATGTAAGAGCGTTATAATTCATTCTTCTCTCTCTCTCTCTCTCTCTCTCTCTCTCTCTCTCTCTCTCTCTCTCTCTCTCTCTCTCTTGTGCATGCATGTGCACACACACACACACACACACACACACACACACAGACACAGAAAATGATGCTGCAGGGATTGCTGGGATTCAGCTAGGTGAATTCTCCAAGTGGGTGGAAGTGCCATATTTGGTGTGGCTGGCCAGAATTCTCAAACAATGTATTAATTAGGCTGGCTAGACTTGAAGGTAAATTCCACTTCGGTTTGCCAAGGCTTCTGTGCCCATTGAAATCAGCTTGGTCTTGTCTAAACAGGTCAATTACTACTGTCAAGCAATGACTCACCGGTCTTCATTTTTTTTTTTTTAATTGGATGGAGGATTTTAAAAGCAGATTGGATGGGGAGTTGTAAGAAAAAAAATATAAGCACAAAGCAATAAAGGATCGCCAGAGTGAGGGACACCAAGTGAGGGAGTGAGGGCAAAGGAAAAAGGCTCATGGAAGAGAGAACAGGGAGGAGAAGCTGGGGGTGGGGAGATTTAGAAGGCATCTGAGTTTACTGGCCAGCCTCTGGTTGCCATGGAGATACTGTAGTAGAGTTAAGCTTAGGGTAACTCGTGGAAAAGACTGGCCTGACTCCCACTCCTTGCAAAAACAGAGCTACAACTTGATTCTCCCAAAGATTTACATCAGATGAGAATCTGGCCCAGAAAGGGACTAAGGCGCTTTGAGCTTGCCAAAGGCAGACATGATCTTTACTTCTGAAAAATGATGTATGCTTAACCTATGAGAAATGCTTCCCAAGCTGCTTGTACCACTTGCCGCTGGTGGCCAAGAAGATGCTTCCTGTACTCACAGGGTGTGTGGGGGAGGGAGGTGCTGCCTCTCTATTCACTGCTGCTATTCTGTGGGCGCATCTCTGCTCACTGCTCAGGCTGGCCCTGGGTGCCTTTTTCTTGTCTTTTCCACGAAACTTACAGATCCCGAAGTTGAAGAAGCCCGGCTCAGTCTTCACCAAAGAGTACCGGCAGAGAATGTGCCCTATAAATGCCTTACGAAGAAACTGCTGAACCAAATCCCAGTTCTCAGTGTTCTCCAGCCCTCACAACCCCATCCCCAGAATGCCCTACCATTTGGGGAGTAGCCAAGAGGTGGTCAGAAGTGAGAGAAAAAATTAGAGGATTTTTTTTTAACCTAATGAAGCCTGTCCATCTTGCTACCTCTGAATCATTGCTTCCTTCATTTTGGGGATCCCCTTCCATCAGGGTGCAGTTTCATTGGTACCATGTAGGCCACCAGGAGTCCCACAGTGTTGGAAGGACCTTGACAAAGAGCAGCTCCTTAGCTTACTACATCTTGATAGCCACATCTATATTCTTGGGGTGAAAAAGATCCCATTATCCCAGGACCCACAAAGGCTGCTTCCTTTATCTTTCTCACAGGCCTATATACTCTTTCTTTTCCCTGAACCAGTCCCATCTTCTTTTGTTTGTTTGTTATCTTGAGACAGATTTTTACTGTGTAGCAGAGGCTAATCTGTAATTAACTATGTAGCCCAAGCTAGACTTGAACAACACCCCCCACCCCACACACGCCTTAGCAAGTGGTGGGAGTACAGGTGTGAGCCACCCAGCTATGATTTACATCTTTTAATACCTTCATTAATATGGTTTAAGAAAAAAATTCTCTCCTCTCTCTCTCTCTTTCTCTCTCTCTCTCTCTCTCTCTCTCTCTCTCTCTCTCTCTCTGTCAAATTGAGAATTTTGCATAGAGGCTATGATAAAAAGAATGCAAACTGCTGAAAACGGTTCCTTCAAGTGGTCAGCCTGCAACTCACAGTCAGCCGATGTCAATTCATGGTTCAAGTCATTGAGAGTCTGCTGCTTGGCAACCACCCGGGCTCCAGGATTTTCATGTGAGCTCATGAAGATGCTGGGAAATGACTAAGTGTACAGGTGGGCCCAGAGTTCATCAGAGCGGTCTTTCTGCTCCAGTAAGGAGTTCCCTGGCTATGCCTCAGATTCTGTTCACTGCATTATGAAGGCCTTCCTCTAATGAGGTTGCAGCTCACCCATCAGAGAAAAGACAGGTGGTAAATTCAGCGACCGAGCCTTTGCTGAAGTGCCTACCCACAAAGACAGGAGCACAGTGACAGCTGCTCCTGTTTCCTCCACCACCTCCTGGCAGTGCTAGGACTGGGAGGGAGGAAGCCTTAATGTTGCATTGAAAGTGTTTCTGATGATAGGAATAACTTGGGGGCACAGCAGGAAGATCTTTCCGGCCGGCTGTAAGAGGTTAACCCATAACACGGGGTTAGTGTTTGGAATCAGATGTATGAGCCATCACCTGAGAGCTATCCTTTGGAAGACAGACTCCACTGTGTGCTAAAGACTCCCCCCCCCAAGCCCTCTTTGCCTGAAATTATCAGCATGTAGAACAGGTGATAGTTTGAGTGACAAGTCATTTGAGAACATTGTCCTGATCTCATAAACATTTTCCTTGGAAAAAATGAGAAAACATGCTATATAAATTTATGCTTTTAATGTTAACGGAGTTAGGAAAGAGAAGATATGACTAACAGTACCTTCCTTATGCCCCACCAAACAATTTAGGGCTGGCTTGTAGGAACCAGAAGTTTCTCAGGCATTCTTCAGCTAGAGACTTGATTCCAAAGGGCAGTAGATTATGCTGGTTTGGAACCTGACTCTGTCATAGCCTTGAAGGGTGATGTGCTCATTAGGCTGTGGTTTACAAGTTACAAAAAAGGATGGTAATAAACCAACCATCGTTAAGTATGTACTCAGAATGTCTTCTTAGCAAAGCAGAAACCCAATAAATACCAAATGGATGAACAGGTGAGTGGACAGATGGATGGATGGAGAGTTGGATAGACAGACAGACAATAGATAGAGTGGTAGAGGAATGCATTCTGGACCCATGTTCAGACTTCTTGGGAAATGCTGATTTCCTACTGGGCTTCATAGAACTGCTCTCAGAAGGTACTAGAAACACTTCCCACTCACAGTGCCTCTATAGGAAGGGAGAAAAAGGTGCCTGGGAATGTGAGCAGCTGGGTATCAGCTGTATGCACCCCCTTTTCCTATGGGGTGACTGGGCTATTGCTTCACAAAAAGGAGTCCTGGGCTAGCTACACCAACCTGGGAGCAAAAATTGTAGATGAGACATCAGCCTTGCCCAGAGCTGGCCACGTCTGTCCCAACTTCCCCCTTGACTATTCTTTTACCACTCAGTCACATATCTTTTTTTTTTCTTTTCAGTTGGAAAAATGTTTTCAATTCCTCAACCATTTTTTAATTTCCATCCCCAGTTCTCCCCAAAGTTTTCTCATTGTTCATGATAATGAGAAACAGATACTTAGTCAATAACTCCAAGTGTATTTACAAGGTTGAACAGGCTCCCATCTGCAAAAGTTCTGGACTCCCTGGAGAAGAAAAATGTGGATGCAAAGAATTTGGATTTCGAGAAACAATCCCATCAAGAAGTCACAGATGGGAAAAAGTAAATTACCTGTTAGGTAGTGAGCTTTCCATTCCTGTTTACAGTGTTACTGATTTAATGAATAATTAGGAAATGTGGCTGTAAGAACCATGATAAATAGTAGACGTTTTTAGTGTGTCAGCCCTTGGTTCATGGGCTTCACAGGAATAGTCTTTATTTCCCATGGGTCTTAAATGGAGGGTTTGAGGTCCTAAGAGGGTGAGTGAGTAGTTGGAAGATGAAGGAAGAGGGCAAAGTGACACACAGGGAAACCCAAAGGATGGCTCAGAGCTTGGAAGAACGGCTGACTGCTGCTTAGTGATTGAGTCAGACCTGAAATCAGGTATACAGAACCCTCAGCTAACTGTAGCTCAATCGTCCATTTTTATAAATAAAGTTTTAATTGAACACTGCCACCTTCATTTGTTTACACACTATTGTGTTGCCTCTGCTTCGCTGGTGGGGCAGAGTGCTTGCCAGAAAGGCTGTATGTCCCCCAAAGTCCGGAATATTTATTATCTGGTCTTTCACAGCACAGTTTTGCAGGTTTTGCTCTAAGCAAGTAAGGCAGAAACAGGAAGCAGCCCTCTCCCTTTCTGCCTCCTACTCTGTCTGAACCTGTCAGAGAATTGGCATGGCATAGTCTCACCATGAAAAAAGCAAGCATCTTTCACAGCCACATTCATGAAATGCCACTAGGACCTGGAATGTTCTAAAAGGTACCAAGGGTGGGTCTCTATTTGCTCCTCAAAGCTGTCTTATGCTGCTGGCAGGGGGCCCTTTCTGTGCCAGCCGAGAATAACGCAGCTGAAGGGACAGTTCAGGTGGATGGTTTGTTTCATCCGTGGGATTAAGCAAACAAAAGAAAGAGCTTGGATCGGCTAGAAAAGTTTATGGGAGATAGGGGAAGAATGTGGCCAGGCCTCCTGTGCTGTTTAAAGGGATGCTGAAATTCAAATCGCCCTGAGAATAGCTTTTTCCACTTGTTGGAGGAGCAAGTATGTAGAGGTAGACTCATTAGTGACAGGCCAGAAACCTGGGGGAGTCCCCACTCTAGCCCCTTCCCTGTGTCTAGCTAAAATGCCTCTAAATCCAGCCCCTTACCTGGCTGAAGCAGGCACTTCTCATCTTCTGGAACTTAAGCTACCTTTTAAAAGTAAGGCCTGCCACCCTTCACTGTTGGAGAGAGAGGTGTTGGGGAGAAACATTTTTCTCCTGCCCCTTTACAAATTGTCCTGGCAGCTGCCTTCAATGCACTTGTGGGGAAGGGCAGGCATCTAGCTTCTGTCACAGGAGAGGCTGGGAACACCAGCAAACTTCACACACATCGAATGCCTCAGAGTCCTGTGGGCAGGGATGGCAGTTGAGCATCACATGATTGCGTCACATCCTCTCTGCTCTGCAGCACCTAGCCTTGACTTGGCAGTTGGAGATGAGGGCGGGGCAATGGAGAAGATTCTCACACCACAGCTGCCTATCTGGATCCCTGGCAGGGTTTAGTGTACTTCTCCGAGGATGATGTACAAGAACTCGATTTAACCTGCGCTGCTTCTTCAGGAGCACTCCAAGGGGACAGCGCTATAGACTAAAGACATTCTGATGGGGCAATCCAGTCTCGTGCCCTGGGATGGGGTGTTGAACTGGCAAGCAGAGCTTCTGAGTGGGAGGCAGGTTATGAGAGAGAGGGTGGGGATGGAAAGAGAGATGTGGCTATAAAATGGCGGAGTGGCCTGTAGGGCCCAAACAACTTAACTCCAAACCTGAGGCATGGAGTCAGGTACCAGCCACCTCAGGCTTCATTCACCCTGTGTGGCTCTCCTTTCAAACGATTCCCAGTCATACCCATTGGATATCTTTTGGTCCTTATTTTTTCCTGGTTAAACCGATGGAAATAGTGGGGGACAGCAGAAAGTCAAATGACAGAGTATGACACCCTTAGAAATGGCTGGAGACATATTCACAACCTTTGGACTATCGGGACAAACACACACTCCTTTTAGGGCTCTTAGTATGATGACAGTTCAGGGCACCGCGCCCCAAGACCACCACCACAGTGAGACCCTGCCTGAAGCTCCCTGATCTCTAGCTAGCCAGGTACAGCCTGCTCCCGTTGCATTCAAAACACAGCCTCCTACAGGAGCAGCAACAACTCTTGTCTCTACCACAAGCTGCTCAAAATATCCAGCTAGTCAACAGCCACAGGACTGATTGTGAGCACAATATATCTTTACTGGCCCCTTGCTTGTTCTTTTTTCTCTTATTGAGAGAAAAAAAAAGCATCAAGTTTTACAAAACAACCCATTACCTTAATTATACCACTTTTCAGTCCCCCTTCCCTTTATACACAGTTTTTCATTTGTTAAAGCTCAAACCTGAAGAACAAAGATACATGACGACATCATGTTTATAGCCACTGCTTATAAAAGCAAGCAGGCACGCCCATGTTACATTGTCTAAAATATGACTCATATCAATGACAAAAGGATCTTTTTAAGAATGGCATGACGACACAGTGTTCCACTCTCTCTGCTTCCTTTTTCTTATACAGTTTCTCTTCAACGCTAACTCACATCCAGGTACATGATCCCCGTGCACAGAATGAAGCAGAAAGTACGATGCAATTAGAATAAAAAGAAGGGATGCATGGGAAGAAACCAGTTAAAGCAGAAAATGAAAGACCCTTCACACTAAGAAGGATCAAGTGCCACCATCAACACAGGTCCAAAGGCCATTTTTATTGCATTTCCCTAAAGATCTACCAAGAACACACTGATCTCCCCCAATGAATGGGACTCCTTCTGCTGCATGGTTAGTTTATCATGGAAAAGAAAAACAGCCTAATTCTAAAGGCCCAGAAGCAATGCAAATGGCAGCCGTAAGCAGTGTCCCCACATCAGCTCTCTACCTTGCTTGCCCAAATCTTATTTCATTCTGCTTCTCTGTTTTGAGTAAAAGACTGATTTTATATCTTGAGCAAGCAGCCTCCACTGTCCTGCCCAGGAAGAGACCAGAAGGCATGTCTCCCATATGGAGAGACATTTGTTTGAGTAAAGATAGAAACATGAGGGAAGATCCTAATGCCTGGTCCCAGGTTCACTTGGCTAGCATCCATGAGCATCACAGAACATGCCATTGTGTTTGATACTCCCAAGTCCCATTCTGTTCTTGACTCTGTGTTCTTAAGCCAAGTCTCTGGCCCCTAAGACTTGGTGGCCTCTTTGCCATCTTCAGCACCCGTGAGTCAATGCTGGCAACTCGAGTCCTGTCTGCCCAGCCCCAACGTATCATGAGCCTACCGGGAAGTCTTACCTTCAAGCCACTGAGCTCCATGTTTGTTTAGCCTAAGTACTGGTTTGCCACTCAAACGAGACTTTATTTATATATCTTTTTATGGAGAACAGGCCTAGGATGTGCAGCCTCGTGCTGTGCATGACTTCAAGGAAAGCGCATGCGCTTTGTTTGTTTATTATCTTGCAGAAGTGGAGCCCTCAGCTACTGTACTTGTCAGTCATGACCAGACATGGTACACACACAGCTTTTAGAACAGTTACTGACCAGTCTTGAACGGGCCTTTCTGGGGGCTTTGAGGCTCAACAAACCCACAGAGTTAGAAGCTGGGGCTTCTCTTCCCAGCAGAAGCATTGCCCTGCGTCTTGAAGGTTAGAACCCAACTACAACCCAAGCTGCTCAGTTTGGCCCTCAGCTTTCCTTTCTGTGCTTCGCATTTGCAGTCAGAGCTCCAGGGAGCCGCAAGATGTGCACACGGAGAACCCAGTACTTCCAAATATGGTGGGGAAATGGAGGAGAGGATAAGAAAGAAAACACATACTGGTCCTCTCTTCTGCCGCTTCCCCCACGTCGATTGTCTTAGAGCTAGAGATGAATGGCAAATGAGGCAAGATGACTTGGATTCCGGGAGCCTGTCTAGGTGTCAAGCCAAGAATTCATCTCTTTCTAGTCAAGAGCTGGACAGATTAATGAGGGCGAGGATAACAAGTGGAGACATGGGGGTATAAAGCAGTGAAGCTTGTCTCTAAAATGCTGTCACCCAGAAGGGTAAGCCTAGCCAGCACAAACAGGGCATGACAGCACTCCTATGGCTGGCACCAAATAGACCCCAGAGACTCAACATCGGGTGAGGGTCTGTGAACATGCTGCAGTTGGCCAGCTGCAGGGGAACACTTAGCCCTTGCAGCAGCCACTGAGTGTTCAGTATTAGAAACCTGGGTAGAAACTTCATCGGCAGCATCAGCAGCCAGACTGCGTGTGGAGGGCGAATGTAAGCCCGCTGCATTTGAAAAGCACAAACAGAACCTTTGCTCCAGGCGGGCGGCCCTCTCTTCTTTCCTGGGATGAAGCAAGCATCCCAATTTCCCTCTGCTTTGTTTTGTTCTCCATTTGCTTTCTTAGGAAGAAAATGCCCCTTTCTGCTCCCAGACTTGCAATTCAAGTGCTCTGACTCTGGACGGATTGTCTTCCCTTTTTTCCTTTACCAGCTTCTGAATTCAGCACCTTTCTTCCCTTCCCGTCACAGCCCTCATGTTATCTCAACATCCTCCCTAGCATGCCTGCTACTGCACCTCATGGAGGGTTAATTGACACCACTGCTTTGGTTCCCTCAGCTGGAAAAACACCACCTTCAGCCTAAAACAAAGCATCGCCACTTTGTTTCACTTCTAATTTACTGCGGGTATTTTTTTCCCCCTCACAGAGGGAGGGTGTGTGTGTGTGTGTGTGTGTGTGTGTGTGTGTGTGTGGTGTGTGTGTGCGCCTGTGTGTATCTGTGTGCCTGTGTGTATCTGTGTGTCTGTGTGTATCTGTGTGTGTGTGTGTGTGTGTCTATGTGTGTGTGTGTGTCTGTGTGT